TCTCCAATGACATTCTTCACAATTCAATTAAAATGACCACCCACGAAGCACAGATTGAATTGCGAAGAAATAAACAAATTCCCCCAACATACATTTTAAGATTAAGCTACACTTGTGTAAACAATGAAACTATTGAGTATGCATTTTGTACACAAAATGATACTCGCATAACCAATTGTACGGAATTATTTTAAGAATAAAGTCAGTCTAAAATTCTCATCGAAAACGGAAAGTCGTTTTATTTAAAAATCGGATAATATTAAATTTCCGCAAAAAATTTTATTATCTTATTTAAAATTATATACATACACATTGTGATATGGCCCCCCTCAAATGATATAGCCTCTTTCAAATTCCTCAAATCTGTTCTGTTAGAAGACCTCTTCGTTTTTACCTAATCGATTAGACTTAAAATGTGGGCCTATTATAAACAATTTATGTATATTTTTTAATATATATGCAATATTATTTAGGTTTTTAACTCTCAAACTAAAACCTCTTACTGAAAAATAGGATCAGGTTTTTCTGAAAGACGTATAAATTTCTATTTAATCGAGTCATCATTTTTACTAAAAATTGTACCATTTATGTGAGCCAAATAAGGGTATATATATATATATATATATATATATATATATATATATATATTTATATATATATATATATATATATATATATATATATATATATATATATATATATATATATATATATATATATATATATATATATATATATATATATATATATATATATATATATATATATATATATATATATATATATATATATACCCTTATTTGGCATCATAGCTTCTAAGGAGGTAGTCGTGGAAATTTTTCGATGTTAATGTTTCGGAAAAGCGCCCACAAAAAAAGAACCTCCTGATATTACCTATTTCGAATCGATTTGTGTGTTTAGGTTATCTTTCATGGGCTATTATAAACAATAAATGTATACTTTTTTCAATATGTGACTTATTATTTACATTTTTGACTCTCGAATTAAAATCTATGCTTTAAAAGAATTATTTATTTATACCAAACTTTGTGCCACTTATGTGAGCCAGATGTGTGACCGACTTTATTGCTTGGCTGCTGATTAAAGAGTGATTTAAGACTATGTTACAATTTTTAAGTGAGAATTGAATTCAAAAATTAATTTGCTAACTTAATAAATTTAATTTACTTTTGTCTACTCACGCTAAGCGTTGCTTTGGTTGACGAAGTTAGCTACCGGAAATGCATTTCTTTGTATTAATTATATATACATATATATATATATATATATATATATATATATATATATATATATATATATATATATATATATATATATATATATATATATATATATATATATATATATATATATATATATATATATATATATATATATATATATATATATATATACATATATATATATATTCTTATCAAAATTGAAGTTACTTTTGTGGAACTTATCAAAAGTTTTACTGTTGCTTTTTTCACCGAAATAAAAGACGATTATTTTATTTACACTGATTGACTTAAAACTATGTTACAAATTTTGAGTGAGCTTTCAATTCTAGAATTAATTTGCTTACTTAATAATTTTTTTTGTCATGAAATAATTATGACTTGAGTTCATGGTTGAACTTAGTGTTTGAATGTTTCATGCTTGAATGTATGAAATATGGATGTTAGGAAGGAAATAAAAATATAAATTTAATTTATTATAATTAAACATAATAGTATATTGAGCAATTCTATTACAAAAGCAAAAAATAAAAATTTATAATTCATAGTTCATCGCATTTTTATACCCTCCACCAAAAAAAGTATGGAGGGTATATTAAGTTCGTCATTCCGTTTGTAACTCATCGAAATAATCATTTTAGACCCAACAAAGTATATATATTCTTGATCAGCGTAAAATTCTAAAACGATTTAGCCCTGTCTGTCCGTCTGTTGTAATCACTCTACAGTCTAAACGAATTAAGATAGAAAGCTAATAAAGAAACAGATCTCTCTTTTGTCTGCAGGCAGGTCAAGTTCGAAGATGGGCTTTATCGGTCAACGATATCGTATAGCCCCCATATAACGGTACCCCCGATATTCGGTATTTTGATGATTTTAGCCACATTTTTCAATGGAATTGTCTTAAAATCCACACAAGTAGTTCCTTGTGAGTACTTTACCCCCTGAGAGAGAATTGTCTCTACGGGTCAAATGACCCGTTGTGGTAGATATTGGTATACAAGAGAGATTACTCAGAATAAACAAGACAAAACAACAACGAAATTTGTTTACAACTGTACATTAATTACTTAAAAAAAGTCATGAAGTCAAATGTGCAAACGCAATAAAATTATGCGTGCATTTTCAATGCAAACGTTCAAAATGGGGTCAAATAACCCGCTATCGTATGTTTACTGTTAATATGCAAATAGTTTAACATTTCCAAGGATAAAATACTTATGAATTCATCTTCGACAGGTGCTTGTTGTATTGCTGGAGGACTAATTTTTTGAAATGGATCTTCTAATTGTTTATACAATTTGTCATTAATACGTAGCGTTACATTTTGGAATTCTATTAAAAATGTTCCGTTTAAAGTTTTGTTATTTACTGCTCTACTAAAATCATTAAGAAGAATAATACCGGGTGAAATATTTTCTATTTGAGAAGTATGATACCCGTGAGTAATTGGACAAGATGAATCCAATCCGTGTAGTAATGTTGGGATGCAAGTATCGTTGGATATGTTTACAAATTGATCACTTTGAAAAAATTTTACATTTTTAGTTATTTCGCATTTGCTTTTTACGCCATATGTACAATTATTATTTTTTATAATTTCATTAAATTTAGTGCTTAAGATTCTATTATTTCTTTTAACAGGTCTGATTAAAAAATTTTGGAAGTTGTCTTTGCTAGTTAGAGGAATTACAATAATATATAAAAGTTTTTTTTCCTTACAATACAATACATTAATTTTTGCAAATTGTAGGGCTTCTTCTATTGATGTTACAATAATATTACCATCTTTATTTTTTTCTAGTGCATTTTTAATTTCTTTTTATTTAACAAAAAGGAATTTGTAATATTTTGCTTGCCCATTGTATTGCAAATTTAATATAAGTTAGTTCTTCTTTTGTAAATCTGAGTTTTAATTGCATGCTCCCGCGATATATTTCCAAGCTGCTGCATATCATATTAATGGCTCTTTACCTTCTGTATGTTTCTACTGGTTCTATGGTTTCAAGGATATCGTGTATTTGTATATCGTTATGTGTTAGGAGTGAGAAAAAAAAGGATTGGTTTTAGGTATGGTTTGTGTTATGCCATTAACGAGGTTCCTGTATCTGTCTATGATGTGAATAATTTAAATGTTCCAGCATGTATTTTTGCAAGTCCATTGTGAATAGGTACAAGTTATGACTGTGTGAAGTTAAAAAAAAAATATAAGTTATTTTCTGAAGAGGTGCACAGAAATGTTAGGGTTCTGTAAAAAAAAATATAAAGATGGTCTCAGTCCTTAATGCTGTTCTTATGTACTACATTTCCTGATTCTGTAATAATTGTGGTAGAGTTATTTTCTTTTACTATTTTTTTTTATATCTCGGAGACAATTTAGTCCCTAAACGCTTACGGATTTTTGCATAAATATCATCACCTGCGTCAAATTGTTTGATTGGTTTCGGTGGATTGGGTTGTCTCTTACCTAAAAGTTGATGTTGAGGAGTATTTGCATAATTGATTTGTTGTGATCCGATACGGCGATCAACATCCATTGGTTCCGCTGGTTTTGGTGCTGTTGGTTGTGGGTGGGCGTGCTTCGAGTGGTCGAAACTTGGTATACCGATATTATGGTTAGTGTTCATTTTAGGAAGATTCTGTGGGTTAGGTATGTAGGCTATGCTTGGATTGAACTGGTGTATGTTCTTTTGAAAATTATATTTCGGGGTAGGAGATGTTTGATAATAGCTTTTTTTAATTGTCTGAAAATTTTGGTTTTGGGCATGATTAGTACGAAGTTTCTGGTTTTCTAGTTTAAGACATAAATGAAGAGACTGTGGTAAATCCGCTGGTTCTCTCATTCCTAGCAATCTTAGTAGATCGCAATTTAGTCCTTATATAAACGTATCGAGGGCTTTACTTCGATAAGTTTGTGTTAACAAACTTAGAGCCTCGTTTCTAACCCTCCTAGTTTGTTCAGTATCAAGGATAGGTTTGAATAAACTGCCTGATTAAATTCTTGAACTGTGGAGTTCGCTTGAATTAGACATGTCATGTGGTATTCTAATGTGAATACATCACGTCTGTCGGCGTAATGTAGGGTAAGGCACTTGAAAATTGCTGGCCAATCTAGATGAGTGTTGTACGACACCAACGCTGTTCGCATAACCTAAAATTTTATTTCTAATTATGTTGAAAATACCGTAATATTTTGGAGTACTTTTCAGATTTTCATGTATACTTAAAATTGTTTCCACGTTCTTTCTCCAAAAGTTAACCTCTCCTGGTTTCCCTGAAAATTCCCTTAGACATTTGGCAACATCGGGGATTTTATCTAGGTCACCCATACTACCTACGGATTTAATGTAGCTTGTAGTACGTGAGGTAACTATTAACTATTAATAATTTCTAATATAATACTCCTAAGGTCTGTTAAGTTTATCTGTCCTGGTTCAGGTCTGTTACATTGGTTTCGGGGATGGGAAGGATTTGGGATAGGTGCATTTAGAATGGGTGGACGGACTAGGTTGTTGGGATTTGCCATTTTATTTTAAAGATAAGTCTATTCAGATGCAATTTATGAATTTTTTATTTTTAAATTTAACTTTTGTATTTTTTTTAACCTTTAAACAAATTATCTTTCTTTTTAACAAGGGGAATGAAATTGTATTTAAGTATATAATGCTTCTTTTTTAATATAGTTTACAATAATTTCGTATGTTTTATACGATTATATTATGTCTATTTGTAATTTATCATAAATATAAAAAAACTTACAATAGTATTAGCAGGTGTAAAGATGTCATCTTGGTGGGTACTTCTATTGCAAGGCTTCTATTGGTAACGGGTTGCAGGGCTTAAAAACACTGTTTATCCGTTGTAGAGCATCTAGTTTCTTTCAATATTGCGAAGTTTGAGTTGTGTGGTGGTTCTTAAATATTTCAGTATTTTGTAAAATTCACAATCAGCACTAGCAAGTTCTTTGTTTTATAGAACTATTTTTTTTTTTTAAATTTATTTGAGAAAATATTAAATTTTTTCCAACACTTTTTGTATTTTGTTTTTTCTTGTTAATTTATAGACTGTTTTTTGGTTATTCAAAATTAAGTCAATTTTGAGATTTTTTCTGTTTTTATTTTCTGTATTTTTTCGATTGTAATTCGTATGATAAACCTATTGTCTTCAAGAGAATATTAATAATTCACTTGGTTTGTTCACCTTTTTAGTATAAATTTTTGTTGAAAAAAGTTTTGACTTTAACGCAATGTTAATAATTTCACTCGGTTTTATTACCTTTTAGTATAATGTTTTCTTTTTAAAAACACGATTTGTGTTCAACAAAATGTTAATAATTGCACTTGTTTTTTTTCACAATTCAGTATAAGTTTTTATTTATTTTCTTAGTATTTTGTTTTTAATATTTTGTTTTATAACATTTACGCGACAATGATTTGCTCGTAGAGGTCTTAAAAAAAATAGGATCAACTTGATCCTTACGCGATACTTTACCGAAAAGGACCGCGGACTCCTTCCAATCGTGTAAATTTCAACTGTCAAAATTGAAGTTACTTTCGTCGAATTTATCAAAAGTTTCACTGTTGCCGAAACAAAAGACGAATATTTTATTTGAACCGACTTTATATATATATATATATATATATATATATATATATATATATATATATATATATATATATATATATATATATATATATATATATATATATATATATATATATATATATATCATTAATGCAAAGGAATGCATTTCCGGTAGCTAACTTCCTCAACCAATGCAACGCTTAGCGTGAGTAAATTAAAGTAAATTAAATTTATTAAGTAAGCAAATTAATTTTAGAATTCAATTCTCACTTAAAAATTGTAACATAGTCTTAAGTCACTCTTTAACCAGCAGCCAAACAATAAAGTCGGTCACACATCTGGCTCACATAAGTCCCACAAAGTTTGGTATAAATAAATAATTCTTTCTAAGCATAGATTTTAATTCGAGAGTCAAAAATCTAAATAATAAGTCATATATTGAAAAAAGTATACATTTATTGTTTATAATAGCCCATGAAAGATAACCTAAACACACAAATCGATTCGAAATAGGTAAAATCAGGAGGTTCTTTTATGTGGGCGCTTTTCCGAAACATTAACATCGAAAAATTTCCACGTCTACCTCCTTAGAAGCTATGATGCCAAATAAGGGTATATATATATATATATATATATATATATATATATATATATATATATATATATATAGGACGCACTTTTAGTGGTATTAAACCGTAAACGAAACCGACATATTCTAACTAACTGGACTCGAACAAAATATTCAATTTATTTGTTTTTTTTTTTCTCGTGTGATACGAACTTTATTTTCCTGAAATTTTCAGTAAAAAGATAAACCAGATATACACTTACAACGGTCACGCTTGCAGGTTAGTTAAGAGACTCATTTCGTTTATTAGGATTTTTTATTTCACAGCAAATCTTGTTTTTATTTGTAGCGACGAAAAAAAAAAATGAAATTATCTGCATTAGTTCAAAAGTTACAGAATTTGGACCAGTTAAAACGGTTTCGAACCCCTGTACGGGGTATGCTTTATCTGTTATAAGCAACTTGCTTTTATAGATAATAAAACGTAGCAAAATATTATTAAAATAGTTTCAAAACATAATATTGGGAGGTACAATTATATGTGGATTATGTCAAATACTCCAGTATGAACTAAATACTACTGAAAATGTTGGTAAAAACATCAAAATACTGATATTCCGCATGTTCTGTTATATGGTGCCTGCATGAAAACGCTGTTATATGGGGCCTAAATGAATTCCTGCCTATACAGGAAGGAGGTACCTCTTGACTACACAAAATATCAAGTTTCAAACAATTATTTTTAAAAATGTACCATAAATTATCGAATATCGGGCGCCGTTATAGGGGGAAATACGAAAAAAGGATACCTTTATATAATTTTGCACAGTACAATTGTCGGTATTCACAGTTTTCCTAGAATATACCTAACCTTTTAATAGTAATCTTCTGGATAATTCTGAACAGATTCCGTTCCTATTCTATTAAGCTTACGATCTTGGATATAAAAAAATCCTGTCATAGGAATTATTTTTAAATAACTGCAATTTTCTGTAAAAAAAAAATAAATTATCACAATAATTCGAAATAAATACTACATTCCAGAGAACGAGCCTTGTAAGCCATCATCCACACCAAATATGTCTGCTGAGTCGCTTAAATAACCGCAAACGTGACCGTGGTGAGTCCGTGATAGTGTTTATCTGGTTTATATATTTAATGCAAATTTCAGTTATTTAAAAATAACGCCTATGCCAGGAACTTTTTTCTCCAAGATCGTAAGGAACCAAAGAATTGAATTAATTGTTTTTATAAAACAAAATTTGCTGATTACTGGAGTAAGATGGAAATTTGTACCAAGGCATAAAATAGGAAATACCATGGCTTCGGAAAGAGCCTCCAATCCTCAGTACAATGATCAGTATCCTTGTAAGCCATCATCCACTCCAAATATGACTGATGAGTGGGTTAACCAACCGCAAACAGTGCGTGCGGAATATTTATATTTTTAATAATTGTATGGAGATAATTTTTTCTTACACTATATCCAAAAACACAATTTTATGTTCATTCGTTTACAAATTTTCCGCAAATATTGCATATTGAATCTGTTATATTGCTGACCTATAACAAACTCTTCGCCATTCCGTTTCCTTATTGTGTACTTTCCATTGATTGCGAATGCTAGAGATGAGAGGATCAGATGATGCCAACATTCCAATGCATTCAAATACTTCGATAATCGTTTTACATCTTAAAATTAGGTTTATATCCACTCCAATTAATTCGGATCCAATTGGTAGATCGTCCTTCGTCGTTTTTATTGGTCTATTATGATCCCATTTACTATGAGCGCGAAACTCATCCTAAATATGTTTTGTTTTTAGGCTTCCCAACTTCTTGTTTGAGTCACTGCTTCTTATCGAACCTGTGGATACAAACTTCAAATCATAACTAATTTTAAGAATATGTTCCATAAATCGTAATCTTGTGTGAAGTGGCTATAATGCTAATTCATATGAGTCAGTATTATTTAATACCTTTTCGGGTGCTTCTTTTAACTTGCTGGATGTGGTCCGACATGTAACGCATATTCCTACTTCCTGAAGTTGTACCTATACTAATTATTTTCAAGATGTTTGCTTTACTCCGAGTAAGGCTTTTATGCAAAGAAAAAGTGACCACGCCCAATTTTACGCCTATTTGATCGATTTACCTACAATCGTAATCAATCATGAAGATATCCGTTCCACAGTTAGTATACGACGTAATCTTGACTCGCCCTCCAACCCTAGGTATCTGTTTGGGGTCAGAGCAACTAGAAAGAAGTGTAGCAATTGAGAACGGCTTTGTTTATTTTTAATTAAGGTGGAAACGTTTTCATGAAAGAAAATTTTGATAAAAACCTCTATAAAAATCGCGGAATTGAAAAAAATGACTCTTCAATTTTGATATGGATTTTTGTGTAGAATTGTTTCAAAATTCATTTTGGAATTTAGTGTTTAAAATTCTTTAACATTTATTGTCGGTATTGATTTCACAATACCGAAAAATTTAAGTGTCAATCTACAGATAATTCGGTAGAAATTGTAACAAAAAGATGCAAAAGTACCAATTTTTAGTGGTATAATTATAGCTAAACGTAACGAACAGATTCTAACTTCGTAGGAATATTGTATATAAGATCAAAGAATAACACACAGACAGATACACTGATAAAAACTAAATACCTTACAACACGATCTTCTAAAATTTACGAATTCATAATTACTTTTGACTTGGAAAATATTGCTAAAACCGTTACAATACTAATAATTGAGGTTTGAAAATTTAATTTAATACGATGAAATAACGTACAGCTGCGGTCAAAAAAAAAGCAGCGCAATGCATTGAAATATTCCTACTTAAGAAACCCAATTTTTTCTTTGAAATGGCGTAATGTTCGTTGCAATATTTAATGGTATTACATTATCATTTATTATTTATATTGTAATAAAACCGAAAAGTTTTGTTTTTTCAAAATATTGTGTTAAATAGAACTCATTTTCGAAATGAAGTCGGTCAAAAAAATAGCAGTTGTAATAAAAACTTAACATAAATTCATTTAATTTCCTTCTATTAAACTGTAAACCTTATTATTAATGTAAAGTGCATTATTCCCTAGAAATTAATACTTTGTTGCAAAACCTTTGTTGCGTATCACTGCTTCACAGCGACGTTTCATTGAAGTGACCAAATGTTGGCATCTTTCGCATGGAATTTTTAGCCAGGCTCCTTGAATTACGCTCCATAGTTCATTATTATTTTTGGGTTTGGCTATGGCCACCTCCTTTTTTATATCGCACCACAAATTTTCAATTGGATTTAGATCCGGTGACTGAGCGGGCCATTCCATGAGATCTATCTTGTTGTCCTGAAACCACTGTTTTGCTAAGCGGCTGGTGTGTTTTGGATCATTATCCTGTTGAAATGTCCATTTTAAAGGCATTTCATCTTCCGCATATGGAAGCATAATATTTTGCAATATTTCAACGTATTGAGTGGCATTCATTGTATTTTTGATCCAAAAAATTGGCCCTACTCCGTAGTACGAGAAACATGCCCAAACCATCACATTTGATCCGCCATGTTTGACCGTTTTAGTTGTATATCTAGGATCATATTCTTTATTTTGTGGACGTCTTACATACTGTCGGGAACCAGTACCACCATATAAAACAATTTTTGACTCATCCGACCATAATATGTTTCTCCATTTTTCAATTGGCCATTCAATATGTGATTTTGCAAACTTCAATCGCTTTGTGACGTGTATTTTTTTCAATAGTGGCACCTTTCTCGGACTCCTTGCATACAGATTGTTTTCGCGTAATACTCTGCGAACAGTTTCTACACTAACAGAAGGACAAACACTGTCTCTTATTTCTGTGGCGGGCACTAACGGATTTTTGGTGCTAGCATTTTTTATCATCCGTCTGGTTTTTTCTGACACCACAGACTTTCTACC